TTGGCTTATCATCACATTTATGGGTTATTTAAAGCCGATATATATATATATATATATATATATATATATATATATATATATATATATATATATATCGGCTTTAAATGTTTTTTTTGGCTTATCATCACATTTATGGGTTATTTAAAAGCCGATATATATATATATATATATATATATATATATATATATATATATATATATATATATATATGTCGGCTTTAAATAACCCATAAATGTGATGATAAATACAAAATAAATACTTTTATCAAATTATATGCATATATACTGATATATGAATATATATATTTGATATATAAATATAGATGTATGTATATATATATATATATGTATATATAAACATACACGCATATATATTTATATACATACATATATATATATATATATACATATATATATATATATATATATACAAACATACATATATATACATACATATATATATATATATATATATATATATATATATATATATATATATATACATATATATATATATATATATATATATACATACATATATATATATATATATATATATATATATATATATATATATATATATATATATATATATATATATATATATATATATATATATATATATATATTAGGCACTGTCATATTAGGACAGTACATAATGAATAAATATTTATTGGTCTACTTTTGTATTGAGCTCTGTTTTAAATTAATGTTTTGAACGCTGAAATCTTACTATTCATCCATTTACTTTTGTATATATATATATATATATATATATATATATATATATATATATTATTCTGCATTCAACACCATCATTTGATAAGAACGTATACACCAATCCTATTCTTGTATATATATATATATATATATATATATATATATATATATATATATATATATATTATATACGTGTTATTGAAGAAGACGGAACTTTTCAGTTTAGTAATGTTTCTTTCGATTTTTTCGTGCTTTCTTGCAAGTTACCAATATAAGCTTACCAATTTAAAGCAAACACTCATAAACGATAATAATAAAGAATTAATGACAGTTAACAATAAAACTATTAACCTTCTTGATAGTAATCAAATGCAGCGCAACTATAAACTTGTTGAACTAGCAATAACTAACACCATCCACAGATACACTCACCCTGTCCAACAACAGAAACAAATAAAACTAGTAATATACTACACCAGATAAATTGTCTGAAATAATACTACTCCCCACAAAACGTTCCTCAATGAAACAAATGTAGTGTAGAGATTTACGTGCCGGTTTGAGAGAATTTCTCACATAATAACCCTAGCACATACATAGGACGATAAACTGCAACTTTCTCATGTCGTCTTACATACCAGCACTATAAAAATCAACTTATAACAATACACTATATCACTAATAACAGATTCAAATTCTCCGAAGTATGAAAAATACTAATCAACAATACCAAAATCCTCTACAAAACAATTGCAAAAACGCTTACAAATTATCGAAGCCATCACAAATAAAAACTCAAAACCCAACATAAATAATATAGGATTTAATACTGGCAGAAATATCTTAAATATATTTAATAACTAATCATCCAAATAATAAATGCCAAACCCCTCCCAGTTGCTAACAACAAGGGCTGAATACCCAAAAATATTACCTATGAAAATAAAAAGTAACCTACTTAAAACCAAATGAATATAGCCATGATAACAGTTGACAACAAACAAAAACTCTCGGCAACACACGAAGACAGGGGTCTTTTATCAACAACTTACACTCAAATACAAATAAACTTTCGAGAAACCAAGGAAAAAGTGAAAGATAGATTATTTAAGGGAAAGCTTATGTAGTTTTCAATAACACATGCCTTAAAAATGACAGGCTGCCAATATATATATATATATATATATATTAAAAGTGTGATAGATAAGTTGTCGTCAAAATTCCGCAAAAATGAATATAACACTGACATTTCAATTTAACAAATATATTTACTAAAATTACACAAACAATATCTTGAAGTACGAAAGAGTAAATTTATTGAATCAAATCTACATTGGCTTCAGCTACGGCCTCCAGACAACTTCATAATCTTTTGTAACTCTTCGATATATATATATATATATATATATATATATATATATATATATATATATATATATATATATATATATATATATATATATATATATATAAAGGTATCTTTTACTTATATCAGGGATAAAGCATATAAATGTTGACATCAGTGTCAACAATCAGGTGGGACAGTGTGTTTCATGCTAAACCCAATCGTCATGTCCTAACGGATATATATATATATGTGTGTGTGTGTGTGTGTTAAAATTCTAGTGAACTACAATTCTATAGGTATATCAATTTTGAAGAAAGAATTATTCGGAGAATGGGCACTGAATAATGTTAATAGAAACGTAAAATTAACTCAAATAATCATTCTTTACAAAGGACGGAAGCAAAAGAGAATTTCTGAAAGTTAAACGCTTTCGAGATTAATGCAGCTGGGTTACACTTAGCAGAAGACCAGGCCGAGTGCCTCTCCTTTCAGACAAGAACAGAAAACTGAGGCTAAGATTCGCTAAGGATTAGAGAAATTTGACGAAGGCTGAAAGATTGGCAATGTTTGCTTGGCCTGATGTGTTTGAATCTGTAGATACCTCTTTTCTGGTTTTAACTTAATATCAACGTTTATTACTACATATGAAGCACAGTCAGTTAAACTGTTTTATGACTATCAGTCACAAATATGCAATCGGCCATTTTGGGGATCAAAACTCATTATCAAACTTAATTGTCAATTCGATTATTCCACGAAGAAAGCGAGCTCCACTTTTCGTTTCTTTTTCAACATGGTTCGGTATTCCTGTAACGAGATACAGAGAATCTTAAAGGATACAGCGAAATTAATTTCTCATCTAATATATATATATATATATATATATATATATATATATATATATATGTAAGACTATCATGCAACGACACCATTATACATGGCAGCCATTAGTGATCGACCATTTTTTGAGTGACAATTATAGTAAAATCATAAAATTATATTTACGTGAAGATAAAACTATGTTGATGGCAAACTCAGGTAGAAAGCTGAAAGAAGTCTTAGATAAGGTAGTAAAGGAAAGCAAGAAGAAAGGACACATTATTAAGTGCAAGATGATGAATGCATGTGTGTCAGCAAATTAGTTTGTCCAGTGTGTGAACCATGTATTGAGGACGTTTACGGCAAAAATGCACAGAAATCCAACGCAATGCAGTCGTAGAATTTTTCTGGTGTCTTCTGAAGTGATGGTGATGATGCTCAACAGAATCACACACACACGCGCATACACACACAGACACACAGACACACAGACACACACACACACACACACACATATATATATATATATATATATATATATATATATATATATATATATATATATGTTGTTTGGGTGTGTTGCATATGCACTGATATAATCTCTCGGATCTTGTGAAATAGATGGCCACACAGTACCCAAACTCACTCAGTAGTGTATCACTGACAAGGGAATAACTCCATTTGAGAGTATCCGTTAAATTATCCGACTAAATTCACCTTTGATTAGCTGCCACATTACATGAACATTGTGCAATCGAAATATAGAAATATAAATACGATCTGAACAGACTTGAATAATTCTACGTAAGAATTTTGTGTTTTGGGCATGTTCTGTTAGTCATTATTTAATTATTTCAAGTGCGTACTTTTTTGAGATTTTAAAGTATTAGCGTTCTAGGCATAAGGCCCCTCTTCGATTGACCTTGATATCATATTCCTGAGGATTTGATCCCAGCCCACGTCTCATTAGAAAATGCCTTAAATATATAGCACAGAAAAACAAATCGTCACCAAGAATATTAGCGCATTGGATTTGCTCAACTTATGTTTGGACTAAATTGTGTATTCAAGCAGAATCTGTAACAAAAGTCTACTTAACATAGTTCAGTATAAGGCTGGTTTGTTTTGTGTTACGGTATATCAACCCCAGTGGGTTATTTAATGTCGACATGATTTCTATTGCTGGTGATATTTTTTTTCAAATATGTATTGCTGGTATTTATTTTTCAAAAATGTGTTGCTGGTAATTTTTTTTCAAAAAATCTATTGCTTGTGTTGTTTTTTCAAAAATGTATTGCTGGTAATACTGTATTGTAGGTAATAATTTTCTCCTTTAAAAATTTATTGCTGGTAATAATTATTTACAAAAATGTATTGCTGATATTAAAACCTATGTTTTACACTTTCATAATACTTTTATTTTAATATATTGTTTGCAAAAATGTATTGTTGGTAGTTTTATTCTAAAAATGTATTTTAATATTTTTTAGTATTGAAGTGATTGTCATTTTACTCAAAAACATTGATTTTTTTTTTTTTTTGGTGGGGGGTTCACTATTTGCCCATAGCTTGGACCCTAACAGGTGCTACCACCCGGGGTTAGGATGGACCTAGGAACATTAGCAATTAAGAGGTGTTTCCTCGCCCCTCAAAACCTCCCGATCAGAGGTCTTTCTGTTAGATGTACTTTAACGTATTAACCAGGACGCGTCATATGTTGACTCTGTATCTGTTGAAGTGACACATATATATCTAACCAGGTGTCTGCAATAGGAATTAGCTAGTCTGTATAGGAGATGAGCATACTCGCAACTAGCTACCATACATACTTCAGTTTTCTAATATCTACATTTAATAAGTAATTTTAATATAATTTTGAAAGACGCATAGAGACTTAACGTACTAATGTATTTCTATTTATAATTATTTTCCACGGTCCAATCCATACATCTTAGGCTGGCCAGGTTTTATAAATGAATAGAAATGACTGAGAAAGACGAATGAGGAATTGTCGTGCGAAATGAATTTTGATATGAACATCCAGCAAATACAAGACTCTGGATTGACAATAGTGAGTTAACGAGATGAGAGTGTGCCATTGGTCGACGGGATCATGTTCCATGTACAATTCATAGCTGAGTATCATGCAAAAGACACAAAAGACAAAGCTCGTTGTTCCCACCCCCCACGCTGTCGTTCCACGACGTTTGTAAAGTATATCGAATGACAAGAGATCACATTGTTTACGAATATCAAAAGCACTGCGCAAGACAATGCAAGACTACCGTGTTTCTTTCTAGTAATGAGATAGATGCAGTTTCATGATTCAACTTGATTAATGATGCAAACTCACACACAAGAGATTCCATGTTCGTATGTGAACCGATGTATAGATCTGTATGGGTGTCTGCACGCATGTGTATATATATATATATATATATATATATATATATATATATATATATATATATATATATATACGAGCAGCCCACCAAACTACCAACACTTGGAATTAACGTAGCCTTGTGAAAAGGCAAATTGAAATGTAATTGTCATCTTTGATAATGGCTTATATAAGCTAAAGTTTAAATAGGATTAAAAATATGGATTTTCTTATTTCTTTTGATGAAACTTATCATTATAATGTTATTACGATATGAAAAGAATTTACATAAAATAAATAGACAACATTTGTCTATATTAAACGAAACATGCATCAATGAAAAAGTGCTGCCTAAATAATTTTAATTTGTAATTATTTTTTAAAAAATACCATTCAATCGCGACATAAAAGTTCCTATGTTTGAAAAACAGGAGCTAAAATGTTCAATTTAATTATAAAAATTTAATTGAATTAAAGTATCAAGCTCGGTTTCATCTTTAAGCGAATTTTTTTTCCAAAAATTTCGCTTGAAGATGAACCAGAGCTTGATACATATAATTATAAAAATTAAATTGAATTAAATTAAGTTTTTAGCTCCTGATTTTGAAACACGAGAATTCTTATGTAGCAATGGAATCATATTTTTTAAAAATTAATTATAATTTAGGCTCTACTTATGTATTGAGCACTGTTTTTTTTTTAAATAAAACAAAAATACTAAAAACTTCGGATTATTTACCTAACGTGTTCTTTCCTATTTTTCTATATATTTACACACACACACACACACACACACACACACACACACACACACACACGTATATATATAAATACGAATGACTGCGGTGATAACATACATATAAAAACGACATTAAAATTTCCTATAAATATCAAATGTATGGTGTCTATAAGCAGGATTAATTTTCCCTTAGAAATATTATAAAGAAATACAAAAATCCATTTGGTAAAAACAAGACAAATTAATTATCTACTTTATCTACCCTTTCACTGTCAAAAGGATTAAATTTAACAGCTTCTTCTCTCGCACTTCCCGTCTGTGAAACTCCCTTCCCCTTACTTACTTCCCAGATGATTATATTCTTCAAATATTCAAGTGTAATGTCAATCGACATCTGACATCCTGAGCTTGTTCCCCGTCCTTCTCTGTATTCTTCCCTCAAACCTGCCTCTTTACTCTTTTTCTCAATCCTGCCTAAGCCCTTGCGTGTTATTGGCACTCCCGCCTTGCTTGGGGTGAATTGCTTTAAAACAAAATAAGAAAAATAAATCCTTTACCGATACGTTTCGTCATCTGATGGACTTAATCATTGTAAAATGTAAAGTTTTCTTTTTTTTTTGCAACAAGCATTAAGAAAAGATTTAAAAAACCAAAAAATATGGTTATGTTTCTGTTGAAACTTGACTAATGCATGGAATAATAATACAACACAAAATATACTTAGAACAAAATGTATGGAAACAAGGAAGTGTACACAATATTTACATATAGTCTTTTGTATATTCCTGGGAAGACCGTTCCTGGAGAATGTGTTGACTTAGTCGCAGTCGGGCAGAGTCTCTGGTTGAATCTCTTGATTCCTCCCTCTCTTCCCGGTACCAACCATATTTATATGGTCGGTACTCCACTATGCAAATTAGGTGGCTCCTACCACAACAGTTTCCAAAAATGTTTCTATTTAAGAACGCTATGGCGAATAACGCATTCCAAAAGCCGGACAAGGTATTGCATAACAGGAGGATCTCTTTCGTAACAAAGAAAAGTCTACTGAGCTGCTGTTACGTGACATCTGTCCTCTTTTATGACAGCGAAAGTTGGACGGTCTCCACAAAAATGAAAAACAGACTCGAGGCGACGGAGATGTGGTTCTACTGAAGGATGCTGAGGATTTCATAGACGAAGTATATGAGCAACGATGAGGTCATGGAGAGGATACAAACAAGCAGGAGGCTTATACATCAGGAAAAGGCAGCTGAAGGTTCTGGGACACGTAATGAGAAAAGAGAGCTTGGAGATTTTAATACAGATCGAATAGAGGGAAAAAAAGAAAAAGGAATGCAAACCATGACATACCTGGCGGGCTTAAGCAATTGGATGAAGAACATGGTCTGGGGAAGGTTAGAGGCACGAAACTTATTGAGATCTATAAGGGATAAGGAGAAGTGGAGAGCCATTATCACCTGAAAGGACACGGCACAAAAAAGAAAGAATATTCTTCAGTTTAAATGTAAATATCAAGGTAAATTATGTCGGAGGCGAAGTGATCTAATATAAAGCTACCTAAAGAAAAGTGAGTAGATGATACCGTTGCTGTAGATTATTTTAATGTAATTATTATTTATTATTTTCGTTTGAGGATTTTTTTTTCATTTAAAATAATATAAGTTTTTGTTTAATCATTTTCTTTTAATTTGCTTATATGTTTACGTTGTATGTTGGCTTGAAAGAGGAATAAATCATTTGGAAAAGGAGATATTTGAAAAAGATCTGGGGCGTAGATTTAAATTTTGATAAGATTCTATAGCGACACTCTCAATAATGCTTTATATAATTTAGTTGTTTTCTCTTGTAAAAAGCGTGGTATTCATTATATACTTGGTAACCGTTAGTCGCACGCCTTCTTTATTTCAGTTTTCTCACTTTCTCATTCTCTCTCTCACTCTCTCTCTCTCTCGCTCATAGTCTCATAGAGAGAGAGAGAGAGAGAGAGAGAGAGAGTTTGGAAATAACTTTCGCCAATCAATAATATCAGCAAGGAAGTATTTCTAAACTATCAAAAAATTTCCAATCCCTAGATTTTTCATATTTAATACATTCATTCATATATATATATATATATATATATATATATATACGTGTGTCTAAATTTCAAAGAGGATAGAATCTAGGTTGAGCTCAATGTCCAGGACAGAGCAAGAATATAATATAAAAGGCTTAAACACTAATATTCCATGGTTATAATTCATTACATTCGAATCGTAATCACGATCCAATTCATCAGACCTACAAATTCAAAAAGAAATCGGAAAATATATATATAAAAAAATCAAAAAAATTAGTGAGAGTGTATGTGTAGAAGTGGGAAACGAGTGTGAGAGGGAAGTGTATGAAAGCTCAGAGAGAGTTGTAATCGAAGAAAGAAGAGCAGGAATGGTCTAAAGGTGAAGGTAGAGATCAAAATTTAAAAGGGAGAAGTTTTAAAGAGAGAAGTTAAATAACGGTTAAATGAGTGACAATAGATAAATATGAATTATTCTCAGATGCATAAATCACTCCCGATTCGCTGATCTAAAATGAAAATTTAAAAAAAAAACAGACACCGGAAACGTGTGGATACATTTGTCGTGACATTAGGCACAATAAAGAATGATATGACCTAAACTCAAAATCTATCCAATTCATACTGCCGATGAATATATAAAAATTTTTCGTCTGGTTTGCATTTACTGACTTTATGTATACATGAAAAGGGAAGATGAGAGAAAGGAAAAAAAATAAATTAAAAATATAAAAAAAGAAGCCAAACTAAAAACGAGGGCATTTATAGGATATATATATATATATATATATATATATATATATATATATAAATATATATATGTGAAAAATATGTAGAAAATAGGAAAGAACTCGTTAGGTAAATAATCCAAAGTTCTTTAGTATTTTTGTTATTATTTTTTTAAAATAGAGCTCGATACAAAAGTAGAGCATAAATATAATTATTTATATAAAAATATGATTCAAACACGCTACATAAGAGATCTCATTTTTCAAAACAAGAGCCGAAAACTTCAATATAATTATTTGAATTAAATTGAATTAAAGTACTAAGCTCTGTTCCATCTTCAAGCGAAATTTTCTTTTGAGTAACTTATTTCTGAAATTTACGTGTTTTATAAGCATATTCATTATTGAAATCAAAATTTCTATGGTAACGGCTAGAGCAATTGTTTAAAGAAAAAGGGGCGTAAGGTGTTAATAATTTGTATCAATATCTCAGTTACATTCAAAGAGGTCAAGTCAAGGTAAGGTTAGGGTGTCTAAATTTAAAGCGGAAGATGATATCGTATAGTCTGGTTAAGCGTCTATGGAGATTTATTTATTTTTTATTTTATTTTTTTCTGAAAGGGTTTTGTGTATATAAAAACTGTCGTAAATCGCTAACATTTGTTTTTTGACGACTTCATAAAGGGTTATCTTTTTTACTATTTATTAGGACTATGGATTTTAAAAATTATTTTATTGTTTGTTTGTTTTTATGCTAATTATTCAATGCAAGAATTTGATGATGTCGGCAAAAAACCGTTAACTCATGTCTATTGTTTAATAGATTTTTATTGTTTAGAAACTTAATAATGTGTAGTTTTTCATGTAGGCATAAAGGGCGTGGGTCATCCCAAATTTTACAAGTTCTAGTTTTGTTTATAATTTTCCATTTTACTTTTGGTGTTTTATTCATTTCCTTCAAATGCCAAAAATATTTAGATAGAGATGTCTGATTTCTTTTATTTATATTGTTGAAGGAGCACTTATGCTGCCTCCATCTGGCTTTAAATTCATTCTTCGTAGACCCAATGTATATCATACTAGTATTAGGACTCTCAATGGATGAGATAGTACATTTGTATACCACAGATTTAACGCAGCATTTATTTTCCAATGGGCAGTCTTCTGGGTTTCTAAAATCACATATTTTTTCACTATTTTTGTCTAATTTAAGTGTAGAGTTTTTATTAATACTATTCAGGTATGGGGGTTTGTTCAGGATTTTATTATTGTGTTTTTTTTATTATACTTTCTAGATTTTCAGTGAAGCTGTAACTTAATTTTAGGGTGTTTTTATTAAATATTTTACTAAATCTACTATTGGTAGGAAAGTGTTTTTCAATTAAAGCTAGGAATTTCTGTCCAAACTTAATACTAACCATTAAAGCATTAAATAATTATTATAACCTTAGTTCGTTGTCAAGTTTGTTTTTTTTAATTTTCGTATACTTGTATTTTGATTGGTCATTCCAGCTTATGTAACAGCGTTTCCATTAGCGAGGGATGTTTGATTGATTTGAACCTTTTAAAACCCTTTATTTTTCATTCCACACCATCACTTTAGAAGACACCAGAAGTGTTGAAACAAAATGGCTATTTTTGTAGTGATTTTATAACATATTTATGTTATAATGTTCGAATAAATAATTATATTTGCTCTACTCTGTATTGACCACTCTTTTAAGAATAGTATTTATTGTTTATTGGAATTTATTCCGTATACACCAATCGTATACTTATATATATATATATATATATATATATATATATATATATATATATATATGTCAATTTTTGTACATCCTGTATAATGTTTTTTAAAGAGTACTTAACGTTTCAGACGAAAAGGCAAGCCAAAAAAGGAATTGTTTTTGGATGCAATGAATGTACTGGTAAATGGAGTTCTCCTATGACTGGAGATATATTTAGCTACTGATGTATTCTTGCAATGTATTATAGTACAAAATTCACTTGTGTAACGCTAAGTGTTAAATAGAGAGGAAGATTACTATTAGATCGGAAGAGTTTAAAATATGAGTTCTTCATTATTATTATTTTAATATAAATGCTTTAAAGTCTATATGCCAATGTGTGTGCATGCTTATGTGTGTGCATGCTTGTGTGTGTGCGCGCGCACACGGGCTGAACATAAAAGCCTTTATTTTTTTTAAGGCGAATTTCCACTTATATTTACGTGATCCCGTGAATGAATTAAACATTACTGTGAAACATCCGCTCATAAAATTATATCAGTTTAAAAAAAAAAAGCCTTGCTTTGTTCAGAGTATCATCTGAAGGATACAAATCTGTAAACTCACTCACCACCATTTCATTCTCCTTTTGCCCTGGTTAATCACAGTTTTTTTTTTTAATTTCTTTTTACCTTTCTTTGCTTTTTCTTTCTTTCGTTCTTGTCTCTTTCTTTCTTTCTTTCTTTTCTTTCTTTCTTTTTTCGTTCTTTCGTTCTTTTTAACTTTCTTTGCTTTTTCTTTCTTTGTTGTTTTTTTCTCTTGCTTTCTTTCTTTATTTATTTTCACTTTCTGTGCTTTTCTTTCATTCTTTTGTTCTTTCGTTCTTTTCTCTTTCTTTCTTTTTCTGTCTTTCTTTCTTTCCTTTTCCTTTGTTTACTTTTTCTTTCTGTCGTTCTTTTCTCTATTTTTCTTTTCCTTTCTTCCTTCCTTTCTTTCTTCCTTCTGTCCTTCTTTTCTTTCTTTCTTTATTTGCTTTTTCTTTCTTACGATCTTTTCTCTTTCTTTTCTTTCTTTCGTCCTTTTCTCTTTATTTCTTTCTATTTTTTCTTTTTTTCTTTCTTTCTTTCCGAAAGGCTCACGTTTTTCTTTCTTTATTCTTTTTGCCTTTCTTTTTACTTTTTGTTTTTTTTTTTCTTCTTTCCTTTTACTTTTGTTAATGTCAGTTTCTTTTTTTTTTCTTATTTATATATTTTGGTCCTTCCATTGCTTTTTCTTTCTTTTTCCTCCCTTTATTTTTTCTTTCTTTCTTTCGTGCTTTTCTCTTTCTTTATTTTTCTTTTTTATTTCTTTCTTTACTTTCTTTCTTTCTTTTTTTCTTTCTTTGCTTTTTTCTTGCTTTCTTTCGTTCTTTTTTCTTTCTTTCTTTTTTCTTTTGTTTTTTCTTTCTTTCTTTCTTTCTTTCTTTTTTTCTTATTTTTTTTCTTTCTTTCTCTCCTAATGACTCACGTTTTTTTTTCTTTATTCTTTTCCTTTTTTCTTTCTTTGGTTTTCTTTCTTCTTTCCTTTAAATTTTCTTTCTTTCATTCTTTCTATTTCACGTCTCTTCGTTTTTAGAGTATCTTTGAGGATCAATAATAATCCCCTTTGTTTCACTCTGTTTCGTACCAAACAAACAGGCCGACTCAAGAAAGCTTATCGTGCGGAAGACATAGCCCAGAATATTAAATAAACGATCGCTACGAAGCGATCGGTCGTCAGTCAAGTGTTTCATCAGCCAAAAGTTTATGCAATCAATACGGCTTTTCTATCATCGCCTTATCTTCTTTTCTTCATGGCTTGTTGAATTCACCACACGCTCAATATTAAAAGGCTTGATTATTCGATTTTATATTATTTTTTCTCGCTTATCCTTTATTTATTATTGGAAAAATTAGTCGAACCATTAAGCAAATCCTTTAATTCTGTTATTTTCTTTTGTCTTCAGACTAGATCGCATTCATTTGATGTCTTTTTTACTTTATGTACATTACACTGGAGATGATGAAATCTTCTGTTAGCTATCCTCTTTCATATAAAATGTATAATCGATTTCGTAATGTTGTGCAAAATATTCCTTGATAGTTCAGGGAGCTATATCAAACTACCTATAATTTTTCAAGGTTCAAATCCCAGCTACTAACAGCGAAACCTCTTTCAATTGTATACACAGGACACATTATATTTTTGGTTCATGAAAACAATACATTTTTAAAATAACTTTGAATCGCTAAAAACCACTCTCATGTGGTTTATTTAATTTTAATCTTTTTTATTTAAAGCTTAGTAACATGAATAAAAAGGGCGCCATTGCAAATAATGTAAGTTCACTCCGAAATGCTTAAAAAAAACATTCTGACTGCTAAACCAGCAATTTTTTTTCAAACGTTTATTTGATTTATTTTTATTCAAATATGCGTTTTCTGTTGTTCTGAATATTTCTGCCTTAACTATATATTCCATATAAAAAATGTATCATTGAGTTGTATTTAGGATTTATCCCGTCTGGAGTGGGATGTGACACAAGGTGTGACTTAATGTGGAGGAACTCGAGCACGTACACCCGGACCAGAGCCCCAAATTGCCCAGTACCCGCAACCACTGGTGGCGCTGGCATAAGTATGACTACCGATCCCATCTTTCTAGGGCAATGAGATGAGTAGAGACGCGTAGTTGAAGTTGAAAGTATTCAACTGCGTTCAAAACATATTTAGTTGAAGCCATAAAATTGTGTTCAGATTATTTAGGTTTCGGCATTAAATAACCCATAGAGGTGTCGATATGCCGCTTAACAAAAACAACCAACCACTCCACCATACGTCAAGAGATAATTGGAAAACATTCAACAGATCTTCGTTCAATACAATATCAGGAACATATCGATAGACACAGGTCGATATACACCTGAGGAAAACCGAAGAACACAATGATCGGAACGTTATGACAACGACAACAAAGATGAGAACAATGGTTCAAATATAAATAGTGTAAATAATCATGACAGGTGATGAAAGCTGCGATACATTCAAAGATTTTCATCACTCAAGGCACTAGATTGATACGGCTAAATCACTACAAAGATCTTTTAATCCTATCCACGAAAGAAAGGTAATATTGTGCATGTAAATGTTTCATTGGAATGGTATTAATTTACAGTTGTTAAAATGCAATGAAGAGCTAAGTGCACATTTACACATGAAGTAGTTACAACTATCCATAAACGCTTGCTAAGATTCCTCTTTGTATTCGCTTCTAATCAGTGTTCTCAAGCCAAGTAGCTATTCGCTGATAGAATGAGTCACTGTATAGCCCTCTACAATTTGGGCTCTGGGGATTAATGGCACACTAAGATTGTAGTGAACAAAAGTAAATCCTCAATATCTCTTCTCTTGAATCGTTTTGATAAAAGCAGAAGGCTTTGCTCGAAAATTCTCTTCCAACTCTACTCTCCACTCTTCAAGAGTTTATTTGCCTGATTTTCCCTCTAGAAAGAAATCTCTACTGAATGTCACACGCATAAGTCCGTCCTTGGTTTCTGTTATAATCACCAAACTAGATCCCCACAAGTAATGTGGATTTGGCAGTATCCCTGCAATTTTCTAAGAAAATGTGCTCCTGTGCTCGCCAAAATTTACAATAAATATCTCCCCAGCCTCTTGAAAATCACCTTCTGTAGTTCATGTCTTTAAAAACTCTGGTGAACTTTCTGACTCCTCGAATTATCGCCCTATTAGACTTTTACCGTTTTCGGCAATGTACAAGAGGCTCTAATGATTACTGAAATAATTAAGCATTCATTGACCATCTTTCGGATAAAGAATATGGCTTTCGTTTCTCTACCACCGATGAGTTAATAGGTATTACTTCTTTTATTGGATGACTAGTCATGTAATTTTACATATCTATCTATCTATCTATCTATCTATCTATCTATCTCTCTCTCTCTCTCTCTCTCTCTCTCTCTATATATATATATATATATATATATATATATATATATATATTAAAAAAACAGACCACTTTAAGGTTCCATTATAATAATACTGAGAGCTCAATGTAAATCCAGAGTTAATATTTGAATATAATATATAATATATTATATTTAATATATATATATATATATATATATATATATATATATATATATATATATATATATATATTTACAGTTAATAGATGCATTGGTATATAATCCAGGTGGATCCTAGTAATAACAAATTTTAAAACTGATCCACAGAGAGCTCAATATCATTATTATAACAGAGCATATACATTTTTCAAGAGTCTCTTAGGAACACTGAATTGATTAATCATCTAACTTAACATGGCCTTCTTTCGGATAAAGATTATGGCTTTCGTTTCTCTACGCCTGCCGCCGATGATTTAATGGGTATTACATTCTTTGTTGTATGCCGATAAGCCGAGGCTCAGTCTGTGGATTTAGATATCTCGCACACAATCAACAGGATTTAGACTTATAGATTTAGTATTCTTCAACAGCTCAATGACTACGGTTTTTTTCTGGACGAATTTTTGTCCTAAAATCATTCAAAAATCAGTTGTTTGTAGATTAATTCCTATTAATACAGGGTACCACTTGTCTCTATCCTTGAACCTACATTGTTATTCATCTTTATCTACGAACTTTCCGATATCATTTGTTCCCAACTAGAAATGTATGCAGATAACACAAATATTTACTATTGTCGTAGTAATAAGTCTAATAGCCCCGACAAAATAAAACTGGCAGCTTGTTGTTAACTGACACAAGGAATGGCTTATGAATTTTAACGCCTCCGAAGCGAAACTGCTATCGTGTAATTAAACATAAGAGAACCTTTTACCTTCCAGCCGTATGGCCTATGTTAATCTTCAGGAGAGCTACTCTTTGAGCCTTATTTGGCTCATGTTTTCCACTGGCATAAAGTGGAATGGTTATATTGAATCAATTGCGAACTCTACTGCCAGGAATGTTGGTCCACAGTGACGTGCTAGACATTTTTTTACGTCAAAATCCATCTTGCACAATTATATATCTACCATTCGTCTGTTTATTGAATATTACTGCAGTATCTGGTCTAATTACCCTGCTATACAGTCTGTCTCAAAATTCGCGCTCCATCCATGTTTTCATACAAAACACGTAATAAACGCCTTTATTGATCGCAATCATAATAGATGCTCAAATTTTGCACCCCTTGCAACAAAACAAGCGTCGATTCTCTTCATCAAACTGTTTTTCATTCTCCTGAGCGTTTCAGTGATGATCTTTTGCCATTCAGTTAATATTGTATTCTTCAAATCATCAATAATGTGAGACGATTCTGGTACACAGCACATCTGAGATGTTTCCAAAGGAAATAGTCAGTTAGTACTAATTAAAATAAATTTTCTTTCCTTTTTATAAATCAGTTCATATCTCCCGGTAATGAAGAGGCTTCACACCTTTGTTTACTCTTCCACAGCGACGAGGTTGGTGCGCGACTTCTGGGACACCCTGTATATCTTGTGATTCTCGACTAAATCCAAAGATGGTTCTGTAATGGAATCGGTCCTGATTTGCCATCTCGGTTTCTGTCACTTTTATGTGGCATCCCTCTATGTTTTCTTGGCATTTTTTCCGATGACCTTTCTTCCTTTGTATCTCGATCGCATGAGTTGAAGTGTAGTACTAGATTGTCAAATAGGTATCAACGTTTTACTATTGAATTAGCTAAATATAACAGTCAGTTTTATTCTAATAGTTTCATTTCTTGCTCTTCTCCCCCGTGAAACTCGCTTCTTTTTTTACTGCTTGCCTGCCACCGACAAACATAAAAAAAATAAATGCAACACACATCCCTTTTTTATGTCTCCCCCAAACGTGTTCCTTTATTCTCTTTCTAGTCGCTAATGTCGTCTCATTCTTTTTCACTCCCATTAAGCCCTGGAATCTTCGAGGCATTACCACCTTACTTGTGGTTAAATCATTATACCAACAGAAAGTACAAGGACCCATTAAGCGGTTAAATCTTGTACTCCGCCATGACAAAATAACATCGCATACAGCAAGACTAATGCAGGAAAAAAATGAAACCAAAAATTGTACTGTACAATCATATCCGCCATATTCTTTTAACTTGAATCAACCATTTATTCACTTTTCGTTCTATGCATAAAGCTTTGATGGGGAAAAGCTCTCTAATGAAAGCCAGATTCAAGAATTACTCGAAAAACTTTTCATAATTAAATATGTGGAATTTTACTTAAATGCTATCGAAGAGCTGACTTGAGTGGTATTGTAAATAATAGAAAATATATAATTGAATAGAATGTAATTATAGTTTGTTTTTGACGAGGAAATTTAATAAACAAGAACGGAAATTATTTATAATACTAATACTTATCCAATATATATATATATATATATTACGGTAAAAATCAAAATTACCTCTTAAGAGCTGGTGATGGCAGCGTTCAGAT